GGAGAGCAGAGAGTGGGTTTGGGCAGGAAGGGAAACAATCTCCAGCCACAACAATGGAGCGAGTTGTCCGAGCTCCTCCGGCCCCAGTTAATAATCATGCACACACTGGAGCTTTTATTTGGGGAAAATGTCACAAGATGCAGCAAGCGGCGTTTGCAAAGCTGTCCCCTCCGCCCCGCGCCCCGGGAAGCGGAGTGGGGAGAAATCAAGGTCCCCAGCTCCTCTGCAGGGCTCCTCTGCCTGCCCCACCTCTTCAGTCCCTTCTGCCGGGCTCCCCGGGCCCCTCGAGCTGCCCCGCGCCCTCCCATCGCCCCCTCGCCCCATCTGCTGCCACCCCCATGCCGCCTGGGTCCGTACCTGCGTGGGACAAGCCTTGCCAGCCATAGGGGACGTGCCGTGTCTTCAGCCTGTCCCAGGTCTCTGGGGTGAAGTGCTGGTCCCACATCAGCATGGGGGTGTTGAAGCGGAAGATCTCCCCAAACTTGGGGTCTGCCTTTGCTGTGGCCATCACTGAGCGGAGGCACGTGCTGGGCTGGCGGGGAGGAAGACCTCGGTTCAGTCTCCAGCCTGGGTCTACCTTCCATCCAACACCTCCGCCCCTCAGCAGGCACCGAGGAGGGGACAAACCCAGGGACAGAAATTCTCCTTGTCCATCACATGTTTTGCTGAGTCACCCAGGCAGGGAGCGGCCTTGTGCCTCAGTTTCCCCAGCTGCAAAACACCCTTTGGTACCCAGCTCAGCAGGGCTGGGAGGGCCGGGGCTTACAGAGTCACCCGAGAGCACGAGCCCTGTCAAAGTCTCAGCATCTTCTAGTGCGGGCACCTCGCTAAAGGCCTTTGCTCCAGGAGAACAGCCCAGCACCCAGGACTGGTCCCTCCCAGAGCCTGGGTCCATCCTCACGAGTCACCAGCCCAGGCTGGTGGCCCAGGCATCACAGGGCTGGAGGGAGCAGGTGACACTGGCTCCAACCTCCACATTGGGGAATTGCTCAGGGAGGTGCTGCAACCGCACCAGGGAGGCTCAGGGAGACCCGCATCCATGGATGGAGGAGGTTGCTCCTCCACACACACACAAACAAAACCCGTTCCAGATGCTGCTGCTCCTCCTCAGCTTCCCCACACAGACCTTCAACCAACAAAACCCAGCAAGGAGGGGCACTGGGGACATGAACCGTACTGTGCTAAAGATTACCTGCTTTCTGCTGGGCTTGGGCTCCTCCAGCTCGGCAGAAGGCTTGAAGGACTTCCCGCTGGAAGGGGGGAAACATAGAGCGGAGTTAAAAATCCATCACTTGGGCAGCGGGGAACCCCACTGTGGGCAGGGTCTCCCAGCCCGTGCCAGAACCCCTGCGCACGCCTTCCCCCCTTACCTCTCTAAGCCGCCTTCAAGGGCCCATCTGCGGCTGCTGGCTCGGCGCGATGTCCCCGTCGGAGCCAGGACCAGCGGCTCCGGCTGCAGC